ATGCAAACTTAACAGAAGCAAGAATGTGTAGGAGGAACTTCATCACAGATGATTACTTAAAGAATCCTCAGACTTGTTTCACTAATTCTCAATGGTCTCTTGGTCCTTGCACTGTGTTTCCCACTAAACCAAGCCCTGAATGTGCCCCACCCAATGAGAAACCCATCCAGTGGGCCACCCGGTCCCTGAAATCGCAAGGATTCTGAGCAGAAGGCACTGAACTCTAGGTCCCTTCTTCTGCATGACTGATGAAGATGTCAAGGAGCCTGTGTGTGTTTATTTACTCACCTGCTATCAGCCAAGCACTGTGATAGCCCAGGAGTCCAGCCCAGGACATGTGGCTGCACTCACCAAGACCAATAACAAATAGAAACAAGAATGTGCGTTGGGTGACTGGAGGAACAACAAAGGTTAAAGTTGCATCAAGTACTGGGGGTTCTATTTCAGGATACTCAAGAGAGGGTTCTCTGGTAAGTTTAGCATCTGCATTGAGGAAGAGAGCCTTGTGAAAGTTTTGTTCAGAAGAGCAGAACAGTTAAATACACAGCCCCTGAGGCAGACGCACTGGAGATTGTGCAAAGAATAGCAAGGAAGTTGGTGAGACTGGAGCAGAGTGAACAAAAATAGAGTTGAGGTCAGAGAGATGCAGGGGCCAGAGCACGAAGGGTCTCATAGAATGGGAGCTGGGACTTGGAATTTTTTTTTATTCTGGGAAGTTACTGAAAGGCCTTGAGCAGAAGACTCACATGATCTGATAGATTTTAAAAGGATCTTTCTAGATGCACTGTTGAGAAAAGAGTCTAAGAGAGCCAAGCATCAAAGCCAGAGAACCCAGTTAGCCTACTGCAATGGTCCAAGCAAGAGATGATGGGCAGCATGGACCAGGTTGATAGGTGGGGAGCACTGAAGCTCAGGTTTTCTCATGAGTCAAGAGAAAAATCAAATAGTCCTGATTTAGCTGTTATTGTTGAGATGCCCAACCAGGAAAGAGTCTTCCAATCAATATGTGAAACACAGGATGCATTTAGAAAGGAAGAGTGCCCTTCTATAGAAGGCTCAGCTTCTCTGAGTGAACTGACGGGGAGTTGAGTGACAGGCGGACTTTCCCAGGGTCTTTAGACAACACTTGATTTTTCAGCTGTGGAACTGAAGTTCCTGGAATGTGGCTGTCACTCACTGCCTGTCTCTCAGAAGCTTGCATACTGATGGCAAACTGTGATTTATTCCTTTGGCCAAGTTTGTAACTGACTCCGGTGGTCCAAGAACAAGCAGTTCTTTTCTGGGAATGTGGGAACATTTTAATTTCATGCCTATTAGACATCAAAGTAGATGAGTTTTGTAAGAAGCAGCAGCAAGCAGTAGTAAAGAATGAACATGAACATGACTACCAAAGGGATACTTTTCCCTAGTGCAAACTCAAAAAAAAACTTTTTCAAATGTGCTTTGATTAGTGTATCACAACTTTCATTATATAGAAATATTCTAATTAAGAGGGCTTTTGATGATTAACTACACAATTAAAATTGTTTGCACAGAAAAAAAAAAGAAACCAGGGAATCAGAAAGGCATAGGAATAAAGAATATCGGCCAAGATTTTGCCCTAGGATCTTGGACTTAAATTCTTAGCTCCTTCATCTACCCAATGAGACAGACTGGATTTCTTCAAAGTCCGTCCCACCTCTATAAATGGTTTTTTTTTTTTTGTTTTATTTTGTTTTGATTTGGGCTTTGTGTGTGTGTGTGTGTGTGTGTGTGTGTGTGTGGTGTGCTGGGGATCGAACCCAGGGCCTTGTGCATATGAGGCAAGCACTCTACAAACTGAGCTATATCCCCAGCCCCAAATTGAGTTTTTTGCACACATGTATGCACATGCATGTGTGTGTGCACTTTAAATGCAGGACAGACTCTAAATAACATTTATAAGAAATAAAATTTAAGAACTAGGCTTTTGCTCCAAGTTCGCTTACAAAAGAGGCATCATTATTTGCTCAAGGACTACATGAGATTCTAGGTTCTTAAAGCTAATTTTCTTCATCTCTACATTTAAAGTGGTAAAGCTTAGAGCAAAAGACAGGGAAACCGAAAAGGCCTCTCCTAATCTTGGTTATTTTAAACAGATTCTTAATGTCCCATCTTGTCATCGTCCTTATTAATGCCCTCTTCTTTGATTATCAGGTGACCTAACTCCGCCGGGGCCTCACTTGTCGGATTCTGTCAGTTAGGCACCATCACTTTCAATAACTTCATGAAACCCTATGTCCTTAGCCAGATGTGCAAGTTCACTTCACAAGTTAAATTGTATTTGCCTGGTATCACAGAATCTGCCTTCAGCAAAGAATAAACCAAGGAAGAGAGAGCACAGAGAAAGAGATACATAGAAGAGCTATTCATACGGAGGTCAATTTTCTAAGTGGCCAGTGAACAGAGAATATGTCAATGTTGCGACAACTTTTACTTCCCCTATGCAACCTCATAACAACCTGGTCCTGGAGCCCAGGCACCCTTTATATTTTCTTGTTCAAGCAGACGAGAGGGGAAAAGTGTGAACATATCTATTAACAACAGGTTGCACTATAGACAAATGATGTTACCGCAGAAAGAAAGGTTAAAAGAGGAAAATTTCTTCCCATGTCCTGCCATGCATTGAGGCTAGCTAGCTGGCATTGTGCAACCTCAGGTTCACGGGCGGGACTTTCTCTTGCCCTTTCAGATTTACCATGAGGCATTTGCACTGTTACCTTATCTGACTCTGGATTAACAAGTCCTGTCTCGTTTCAAATGCCACTTGGCAGGTTCATTTCTGAGAATGGGGGAGTAATTACCGGTCAATCTGAGGAAAAGAACCTAGAAAGGAAGGGTCCATGGGTGTGGGGGAGGGGAGGGAAGGACTGTAGGTGGGGAGAATGAAATAGAAGAGAAACACCACCACCATCAATTGGGTAGAAATTGAGGGAAGGATTGGAAGGGGGGGTCATATTGTGCTGAGGAGTCTATATTTCCAATCAGTCATAAGATCAGGGTAAGACTGTGTAGTGTTAACATCCTAAATATGCCCAGTCTTGTCCACAACCAGAACTGGACAGAGGACTGAAGTTCCCACTCCCAATCTCATCCAGCCTTTAGTGCTTAATAAAAATGGTGTATATTTACCAATTTTCCCTTGTTTTGGGATAGTGGGTAATTTCTGACCAGAGTAGATTTTGAGTCCCTGGGAAGAGAGAGACCACATGTCTATTCATCTTTATATAGTCACCCTTTCTTCCTTCACCATTCTTCCCTCTCTTACAGACAGTAATTTGTGATAGCATCAGTTTGTTTGATTAATCAAATCTAAGCCTTCTATCCAAAACGAACACAATACTAAACTGGATGTTCACAAAGGAAGGAAATAGGAAGCCATATCAGAAAAAGCCCTGAGATGTAAGTCTAAAGTTAGAGGGGAGGGAAAAAAAAATAAAAAGATGGTCCTGGCCATCTTAGCAAGGTTGCATGAGGTGAGGGACAATGGAAGACCTTTGTACTTAAGCCATCTTTTACCCAATCCTGCTTTTAGAACAGAACTGAACACAGCAATCTTTCAGCAGCCAAAGGATGACATAAAAGGATGCTCTTGATGTTCAACATTCCTAAATTCCTTCTCGTACTATGAAAGCAAAGAGACTCACAATTATCTCTTCCTAGTTTGAAGACTTCCAGGGACTTCTCATATTACAATAAAGTAATCCATCCAACCTAACATGCCCCATTAATCACTAAGAATAAGACATCTCTTGACTTCAGAATGGTTAGGATCTTTTTTAATTGGCGGATGCTCTCCCTTGCCCAATTATTTCCCCTAACGATTTCTGCATCTACTGCCTTCCCCCAAAGTACAGATCTGACAAATGGTTTATGGACTTCCCTTGGAAAGTCCATCCATTTGGCAGTCACTGTGCAGTAATTTCATATGCAACACTAAATGACCCCATCCAAAATATCAAGTCACGAGGCCCCCACCACTTAGTCACATATTTAGTAGCTGGCTCTCCATGGAGGATGCATCAGGACACCGTTCTCCTTAAAATCAGCTACTGCATGGGGCAAAGTCAAAGTGTTATTTTGATCCAGGCATTAAATTATTAATACTCCTATTTTTATTTTTCATGATAGGAGTAGTTTTTCTCCTTCTCACTAAGAAAGAACTCAGATATCTCAAAGTCCCATTGAAGAAGATTTAAGTTTCTTCATCAGCATCTTTTTACTTGATCTTCTGGGAAGGGTAAAGGGCAGGTCCAACCATGACAGGATGTTGGGAGCCTTCTTCATGTGCATCAGCAGCATAACCAGCTCTCCTGTGAAGCACCTCAGAATGATAAAAAATTCAATCCTGACAGCACTCTAGCGCCAGCTGATGGCTACCTGAATGCCCTGATATTTGTGAGACAGAATCTAGAGTATGTATCAACTGATCCTTCCTCTAAGTCCCAGTTGCCACACCTGTGTTAGGATAGGTCTAAAACAAAGGGGGCAGCATTTGATTTGGTCCTGAGAAGCAATGTCTCCAGGGGGCTGTGACTGGATGTTGCACATTCATCCTTTCTTTCTTCAAGGTCAAGGCTGGGGCAGTTCCTTTAGTCAGTCATTGTATGAACTGCAAAAGTGTACCTGAAGGATGTCATCCATGGTGTAACCCAACATGTCTTTCATCAGGACCCCACAATAAACTCCTCCTTGAGTATCCAAATTCAAAATAAGGAAATTAAGGAAAACAATGTGACTTGAGTGTCTTCCCACTTTACCTTACCTGTCACCAAACTCAGCTAGATTCAGGACATAACCAGAGTGATATTAATGAGATTAAATGCAACACTTACTTATTTGCCTCCTTCTAAATGGCCTTTGCTCTATTTCATCCTCTTATTACATGTTCTTGTAAGTTGCTTCAAATCACATTCTGTGTACAAGATTTTTGAAATATGCCTTTCTTGGGTAACAGTCTACCTTTCCAAGGACAGTCTTACCTGCATATGAGTCTATTTTTCACCAAGGCTGTAAAGATCTCCTGAAATAACACATGCTGGGGATGTTTGCTGAAATTCCTTTCATTCTTGTAGTTTATACTGAGATGAAACAAACAGAAGAGCATTTTGTAATAAAAATTACTTAGGATGTCTCAAAAAGTTACCAATGCAACACAAATACCTTGTATACTCAAGGCAACTATTGAAGGATTCTTGAGGTTTAACCCTGCTAAAGGCAAGATTGGAACTTGAAATTCAATGTAAAGTTAACAATGAAGACTATACTCAAGCAAATGCCTTTCATCTTACCATATTAATTAAATTGTTCCCTAAAAACACTTAACAGCTAAAATTGGTCAGAGGGGAAAAAATGGAATATGGAGAGAAAAAAATGTCTGGGGCCATTATCTAGATGGATTGCACCAGGCAAACAAGAATCCTTTCCATCCTCTTTCTACCCACCCTCAACCCCCACCAGCCACTTTAGCTGTTAATACCAATGGTGGTCACAAATATTTGTTTGTAGATAACAGGAATTTATTAACAGTCTACACTCCATCAGCCATAGTGACTGCTTGATTGTTATTGTTTATGTTTCAAGTATATGTGTTTTTAATACAATTTTGGAAATATTCAGATTCCAGGTTCTTTTTGCTGATGTAAGAGCCTATCAAAGAGGTTAAAAATAGCCTCATTGCATTCCACTTTAATCCTAGAAGAGGATAAAAGACAATGCACATAAGGGTCACGTTGCTGTGGTATGTGTAATATTTTGGTGCATGTTAAAATAGGCTAGTTTTGAGATCTAGGCCAAATAAGCTGGAATTACATGAATATACCCTCTTGAAGGCAAGTTCTATAACCTTGTGTCATCATTTGTAACGATCTGCCTTTGAAGCCTTTTAGATGTCATTAGCATGCATGTAAGTCCCCACCCTAGCTAGGGGAGGGCTGTCCTGATTTCTTAGTACATGGACACGGGCAAACTGGATATGTAACAATAACCATTTATTGTTCCTCACTGAAGACATATTTTAAAACTATGAACCCACGTTATATCATGTGGATTATTGGACTAATTAAATTAATCGAGTGATAGGAAAAACAATCGAGGCCCAATAAATAAATGGTCATTCTAGAATATTCATATCAATATTTCATGCCATTCATTATTTACATGGCACTTAGTGCCAAATGACCTAAGCACATTGTAGAACTGAGAGAACCAGCTCCTGGAAGGGGAGTGGCCCATGAGAATGCACAGCTTCCCGGAGGTCTACATGGCAACAGAAATCAACACAGGCTGACACTTGCAGTGTTGCAGGTGAGGTGCTCTCCCTGCAACTGAAAACCTGGTTGCTTTGACTACCACATTTTTTTTTAGCCACCACATCTGTTCACAGCAACCGATTCTTTTATTTCTTCTCATTACTGGAAAGATGTAGATTGACCAAAGACTCAGCAAAGCTCAGAATCAGCCTGGCCAGGTCACAACCTGGAACCACTTCCTCGTTGAGCAAATGCCAACTGTAAGTCAGTACAGTGTCCTGAAAGTCCCAGGTCAGTTCCACCTGTGACCATTAAGCCTGTTATTTATGCATTATTTCTGGGAATGGTTGAAGCTCTTAACTAAAAAGATTAAACCGAGGATCTCCTTGGGAAATTCTGAAAACAGATTTGAAATGGTAGCTCCTGTCATACACATTATGAAGCTATGGAGAACAGGTTGCTGGGGGCACAGGAGATTTCTTACCTAAAATTTTCAAGTTCAACAGCTTCTGTGGACTCATGCCACTGACCTCGAGCTCTGTGTCCACCCGCCTTGATGGCGGGCTCAGACTTCGTCATGCTATTTTGGGCACTATCAAAGTTAATGGCTGGAAGCTACAGAAATAGAAGCACAGAGTACGTGCGTGAGGATCACAATTCAGCACAGGATAAAGAAAGTAACAAAATGGGGGGAGGCAGAGGGGAGGCCAAAGAGCACAAGGATTTTCCAGGTCAATAAGTAAGATGACAGCCCTGTTAACTGGAGGGGTTTTCTGAGAGTTGAGCATCTTTGACTTAAAACATTTACTCTCTACCTTACACTATTTTTAATTCATAGCTTACAATACTACTTGTCATATCTTATGGTTACTTATTATTTTCAGTCTCCCTTGCTTATCTTTTTTTGGAGGGGCAGAGGTGGGGGCAGGGAGAATGCCAGGGATTGAACTCAGGGGTGCTCAGCCACTGTAGCACATCCCCAGCTCAATTTTGTGTTTTATTTAGAAACAGGGTCTCAATGAGTTGCTTAGTGCCTCTCCATTGCTCAGGCTGACTTTGAACTCGTGATCCTCCTTCCTCAGCCTCCTGAGCTGCTGGGATTACAGGCATAAACTACCGCCCCTGGCATTCCCTTGCTTATAATATCAGGAAACTTGTCCATTTTGGTTCAATGCTGTTTACCCAGCACTTGGTACAATGCTGGGGACACAGGTCTGAGATGAGGCCTAGTCATCAGGGGATTTTGAAGCTTCTTGTGTGTTTTAGCTGTGGACCTGGAGAGTTTCTGGGTCCAGGGAGACCACTCTGGCATAGCGTGGTGTGCCCAGACTGAGAAGGAATCATCACACACTCATTCCATCTTCCACATTAGCCAAGTATACACACCGCTTACCAGGTAGTGGGATATGTTGATAAGTGAGAATCTATCACTTTTAATCAGTCTGAACATCCAATAGTATTTATGAACGTCATTAAAATACTTATAAAAGTTCATCATAAGAAAAATAAAATTTAGCCAGGTGCAGTGACATCCAGCAACTTAGGAGGCTGAGGCAGGAGGATCGCAAATTCAAAGCCAGCCTCAGTAACTTAGCAAGACCTGTATCAAACTTTAAAAACTTTAAAAAGGACTGGGGATGTTGCTCAGTGGTAAAGCACCCTGGGTTAAAAACTTAGTATAAAAGAAAAAGAAAGAAAATTTGTTTAAATTAACCACAATAGCATGTCTCCATTTACCATATGAACTGGAGAGTGACTCATATAATAAGTTGTCAAGTTATCAGTATTCAAATAGTTTCTCTTACCAATACTTACTATATCTGAGATAACCTGAGATTTATTTCTGATACCACATAAAATTAAGCATGGTATGGATAAATATCTTATCTTTTCCAAAGAACAAGTGAAGAGTGTTGTATAATTAATTATTACAAATGAGGTAAACAGAGGGTAGAACAAAAGAAAAGACACATTTTTCAGTAAATGATTATATTCTATATAATTACAAAATAAAGCACTTGTTGTCTTATTCCACTGAGATAGTTGATAGAAATCAACATGGAAACATTATTTCCATATCCAAAGAGAATATTCCTGACTCCCCAAAAGGTGCTCATCTTCTAGAAAAATACATTCTAAAAAGGACATTGTTTTATAGCTCACCAAAAAAAAAAAAAAAAATCCTTCCTCATACACCAACCACAGTTGAATTTTCAAAATATTAATAAAAAGGGCTAGAGTGTGGCTCAGTGGTAGAGCACTTGTTTATCATTCAAGAAGCTCTGGGTTCAATCCCTGGCACTACACACACAAACATATCAAACATTCCTTCAGGTAAAACTTACCTCTCTATTTCAGTTCAGTCAGTGAAAGTACAATAGGCCATGGATACTGGAGGCAGCACACAAACTCTCTGATCAGCTCTGTGGGTGTCAATCCACCATGAGCTAGCTGTATGATTTGGGGAAATTTACTTAATCTCTCTGTGCCTTAGTTTTTACATCATTAAAATGGAAATGATAATAGTAGTAATAGGACTGGGGCTGGGGCTCCGTGATAGAGCGCTTGCCTTGCATGTGTGAGGCACTGGGTTCGATCCTTAACACCACATAAAAATAAATAAATAAAGATATTAAAATATGTATATATAATATATATTAAAAATAGTAGTAGTACTAGTAGCAGAAGTACTATGCATGTATGTCAGAGTCATCGTGAAAGTTAAATGAATTACATTTATAAGGCACTTGCTATGTGCCAGGTATACTTCTACCTCTTTGCCAATACTCTTTCAATCCTCATAATTATTCCCATTGTTCAGATGAATTTGCCAAATAAATCAAATGCGTCATTAGGTGATTTTTCAGATCTGAACTGATGACCCAAATGATATTAGACACAAAGCCACAGCAACAAGCAAATTTTCCTGTGTTAACACGAAATGTTACAACAGAGAGAAAATAGGAAGCAGGTTTTCCAGGTCCAAGGAATTTCAGATCCCCTTGCCACTGGCACGATTCCTAGAATACTGTTTGCAAGAGAGAAAAGTAGCCAAGACAGAGAAAACAAACTCAAGCCACCAAAGGAGAGGGCAGAAAGTTTCCATGTCCAGCAGTCATCGCCCTGGTGGGCAAAGCAGGCAGCCAGTGTTGGGAATCAACTCATGGAGCTTCAGTGGATAAGATGAACTTGGCATCCATAGGCGCAACTTACACTTTTATGTTGAACCCGGAACTCAGTGCTATTGTTAATACTAGCACATATCAATTGTACAAATTAATGGGTTTCATTGTGACATTTCCATACACGCATATAATGTGCTTTGATCATATTCACCCTTTCTATGACCCTCTCTTACCCCCCTCCTCCTGGAAAGACCACAGCTTAACAATAGGAACCTTGAAACAACCCATCCACTTCAGATGAAAGCAACGTGAGTTCAGAACCCTGGAGCATGTTCCCTTGGCTCCTCAATGCCTCAGACCTGCTGGTTATCTGACCTGTGGGTATCTGACCTCTCCATGCCTGGGCATGTGCAGCCTGTAACTGATCACGTTCCAGGGCTCAGTTCAAACAGCCTCCTGGTGAGCACTTATCCATGCCTTCCTCTGGAGAGCTTACCTCTCCTCTTACAGCACTTATCACAGTCTAGTACAATGTCCAGTTTACACATCAGCGTTCTGGCTTTGAATTCAGTCACCCTGTAGGGAGCGTCACCTCTAACAAAGCCTGGCATATAGTAGATACTCAAATAGGAAGCGGCTGAATGAATGCCCATTTCGTTCCCAGACAACTAACTCATCTGAAACCACCTCCAGATGAGTTCACCCAATCAGCACACTTGTTGCAGACACTCGGTGTGCCAGGCATTGTATGAGAATCTGGATATACAGTCATCAGAACAGCCATGGTCTCTGCCTTCAAGGACCTTATAGTCCCCAGGTGGTGAGGAATTGCAGACAGTAAGCAGGCTTGAGAAACAAGCTGCAGAATTAGTGAACAGGGGTTTGTCGAGGTGGAAAATAAAGGAGGAAGCTCAGGCATCATGGACCAGAATGGAAGGTAGAAAAGAACAGTGAATGCATGCTCAGCTGGAAGGTACCTGTGTAGCTAACGTGGAGAGCAAGCTCTGCAGACACAGGGAGCGCACGGTCAGGACAAAGAGCAAAGGCAGAGCCCCATAACACAACGAAACAATGAGGGACATGGCCTGGCTCATCAAAGATCCAGCTAGAGAAGCATTCAGTTCTCTACAACTCTGCCTGAACCCACAGGGTAGATTTCCTCTGTAACCAGCAATTGGTCATCTTGACCCATTTGCAAAAAGAAAGAAAGGGGGGAAAAAAAAACCCAGGCCATATCATATCTTATTACAGCATAAATTCAGGTGAATGGGACTTAACCTCAAATTTTCTTTCCAAATTGACTGCTAAAAATCTCAGAGCCAAATGTGAGAACTACTCACATATTTTATTGAGCATTTCTGCCTTATCCCAACTCTACTGTGCTCCCAGCCCTTGTTTTACTTTTATTGTTGGTCCTGTTTTTAATTTAATTAAGGGTAACCCATCATACTTCATGCATATTGGACAGAAGGATCATGTGAGCCAGCAGGGCTCACCATTGGATGGCTCTTCTTGAGGGATGGGGAAGTTAGTCTTTGGAGCCGGGGAGACTCCCAACACTTACAGACTCCTTACATTCTTTCTGGAACAAGCAAAGGTGTAAATAAATTCTCGAGTTACCTTCTCCAGAATATTCCTTCTGCTATAAATCTTTCCACACTATTTTATGAAATAAGAATAGGTACTCAGAATAACACTTATTAGTTCAGAATTACAAATGTGTGAAAGTTTTATAAACAGAATTAGGCATAAATCTTGTGAGCCTTGGGAACCTTCATCCAATTGAAGACAGTTATTTTCATTTTTTTTTCCTTAGAGCTATCTACTTTCTGAATAATTCAAGCATTACAAATATGCATTTCTGTTTGTGTGAAATATTTAACAAAAAGATATGCCATGCAAATGTGTCAGACAACGGATTGCCAATTCCAAAGTTGGCTAAAAGGGAGAAATCGTTAAATTAACTTTAATTAAGCCTTTCAGGTGTCAAGAAGGAAGTGTAGAAAGGACAAAATAGAACTATTAAGGATGAACTTCAAAGTTCATCCTTTGAGCTAAAAAACCAACAAGAACCAAGACACCACCATCATATATTTCTTTTGCCTGGACCAGGGGCTTGTACATATTCATGGGGTGTCACAATTCCGTTAGGAAAAAAAATAACCCAAAACTCACTGAATTAGAGGATACAGTGAACCAGAGAGAGAAGTCAATTTTACTGGCACTGGGAAATTTCCATCTTGTTAGGAAATAAGATACGTAGACAAGACTTTCCAAAGTGCGAGGAAAAATAATGCTTTTCTGGTGAGAGAGCTGCCTTGGGAAGAGAGTGGTCACTTTAGGCATGGCAGATATGCGGAGGTGGTATCATGAGATGTGGGTTTGGGAAATAGGTTAGAACTCATAGGGAAGAAATCTGGGAGAAGAGAATAGTAAAAACAAAGAATAGAAGTCTTCCGTATTAGGATTACATCACAGAAAGCACAATGGGAATCGATGAGAGCAACCAAAACAAAAATGTCCCACCAAAGTCTTAAAATTCTCTCCAAAAAGCATGGGCTTGTGAGCAGAGAACCAGGAAGATTATTTTGGCAGTACAAAGACAGACAAAGGGCAAAGTGACTGCTGAAATAGGTAGACAAGAAGAAAGTTTTCCCCAGGCTGTAGCATTAATAACAGAGAAGAATAGGCTCACAGAGTAAAGGTATTTTTTTTTACTCCAAATCAATGCTCATCCCACAATTGTTTTAACTATAATTTTATTTTTCAACACATTTTAAAGATATCTCAATGGTTAAAGACACCTGTTGCAAAATGGGAGTGCCTGAGTCCAGAACTATGACCTTTGGAAATCATTTAATGTCTCTGTGCCTCAGTTTCCTCATCTGTAAAAAGGGGATTTGTAAATTATTAAGCAAGATAATGCAGGTACAGCACAGGTACATAGTAAGTGTTCCCTAACTATATCATTATTCGGCCTTCATATGCCATCAAATCATTAGAAAGTCAGTCTATAGTATAAATAGATACATAAAAATGCTATAGTTCTCTGGTAAGTTTGGTTGATGAAACAAAAACCCTTAAGGTTGGCATTATTAACCACATGGGCTCTTAAAGAAATTGACCTAAATATATATAATTTAATAGCCTCTGGAGCCAGAAGACTAGGGTTGAAGTTCCATCCCTGCCATTTACTAGTTGTGAGCGCTACATAGCTGTTATCGTTGTTATTAGCATTGCTACATTGTTCCCAAACCTCCTTGAACAGCTTCTAATATCTCATGACTTTCCAAAGCCTTCATAGAAGCAAAACCAAAAAGAAAAATTTCGAGATAAATTAAAGTGGGAGTACCATTCCTTCCTTTGCTGTTCAAAATAACCCAAGCTCACTCCTCTCTCCTTTTTGGTGGGATATGATTAGCCCCAAGCCCCAAGAGCTGCATCATAACAGCAAGGGCAGGAGCAGATGGAGGAGGAGGAGGAGAACCAGGTAACCGTGCTTTGGAAAAACCAATTTCCATGAAGCTCTGAAGAGACCTATTTGGGCATTCGATAAAAGAGTTTGCTGATTATAGAGTGAAGAGTAAAAGCTTTGCTAGAGAGGATCCGTGGGGATGAGCAGAGGAGAAAGGCAAGGTGCCCGCAGGAGAGGAGGATGAAAAAGCTGTGGATGCCAAGTCTTGGCAGGGCCTGAACCAGGAACGAGAGAAACAGCCAGATGAAGCAAGAGAAGACACGCGAAGAACAAAGAAACTGGACATATCGTGCTTGTAAAGATGTTAAATGGATCCCTCTGGAAACATGTGATTCTCTTTTATTAAATCATGCACATTCTTTGGAAAAAAAAACAAAACTACCTGTTGTTTGCTTGATTGAACGTTCAAAAGGCACCGGAGCCTTTTAAGATCTGAATAGTCCCTAGGAGAGAAAATACCACAATGTCAACCAACAGAAAGCTCCAGGTGAATGGGGTCATGTTACCCACTGGTGACACTGCTACTTGCAGGCCTGCTTTATAGACCACCGCGGACGCACCCACCATTTTTCCCTTGGAACTCGACAAAGGGTCAAATGTTTCAGTGGGCACTGTAACCGCAGTAGCAGTTGTTAGGAGTCTACACTATTTCTCAAAAAGCTATTCAATCTGCTCAATAGTCACTGCCTCGGTTAATAATTAGTAAAGAGCATATGGGGTTACCTGCTGGCGACTCCTTGCTGTTTTTTATCAGTTGACTTTTCTGTGGTCTTCACCTTTTTGTCTGGATCAGGCATTGTAAACCATCAATGCCCCAGAATTAACATCGCATTCCTTTCAAAGTAAAACAGAGGGAAAAACTTGAGTTGGGTTGGGTGAATCAGAACGTTCTCGCTTAATACAGACAAGATTCACTTACAACATCTATTTTAACATGCAAACACTCATATCTATTTCTAATACAAGAACAAAAGTGTTCACATGGATACCCTCTCTCTTCAAAGAGCTTTGGATAGATACATTTAGGGCATAGGTTATAGTGGCCCCCTGAGCCTGTATTTTCTGGGTGTTCTTGATATCAAGGATTCTGACCTAGTGCACCACAGGTGTTGTTCTGCATGTCAGAAAACGTATGCCCACTCTGGGTTTCCAAAATGTACGTCTTTGAACAAATACTTAAAGCTCAATCGATGCTTTTATGCTGTCTCACTTACCTTTCTCAACAAGAATCCTTAATTATATGCTGCCAATCATAGGGTTCCTTTGTCATCATGGGTCATGTCCCTAATAGTCTCAGAGAAAGTCCCACCCACTCATAAATAACCGCTCAGAGTCAAGAGTAACATTCAGAAACCTGGTGTATTTCCAAAATTCCTAAAGTTACCTGAAGAGCTTTCACATGCCCTTCTGGAAAGCCTGGGCCAGTCCTACACTGTCCCTGCACTCACCCAAGCATCTGGCTGGGAGGCTGGCCAGCCTAGAAAGACAGTCCAATAGCCATTTCAATCTTCTGAATTAAGCTTTTTATGACTGTCATGGTCACTTTTCCTAGTATTAATTTTAATACTACTTCTCATCCCAACTCCAAAAAGTAAGTATGCGTTCATCAACAGAGAACAATTTGCTTTTTTTTCCTTTTTAACTAATTTCTATGGTCAATTGTTTTCATTTCCAGAGTAGAAATCTAAAGATACAATACTTCTTATAATATAGCAAAATACCAAACTCGATATTATGTTGGTTTCATTCAATTAGATGCAAAAAAAAAATTCAATTGTGTTTCAATGCCACAGTTTAACTTCGATATGTTGTTCAGGCATGAAAAAGCATGCATTATTGTCTTATAATTGCATGCCTCAATGTATTGTGAAATCTATGGTCAAACTCCAAGTGTTTCAGAGGTATTCAGAAGCAAAGGAATGTGCCGAGGGGTGTTTCACTGCAACAGAATCTAGTGAAATTTAATTTTCTGAAATGCACAAAGACACTTTAAGGATTTAAAAAGGATTTCCCCAATGTAGTCATACTTGGGACAAATCATTAACCAGAATTAAAGAGTTGGGAACCAAGATTCTCATCACTGGTGCAAAACAAAGCACAGTATTGATATTTTAAGATTGTGCCAAGGATATAAAACCACAGACCCATTCATTCAACAAATAACTTATTGAATATTTACTATGCCTAATTTCATACTGAGGCTGCTAAAGGTAAAGGAGGCTATCACAGGTATGCAACTCTATCACTAGCAAAAGAAAAACCCCACTTAGGAACTCTAGGACACATTTTGTGAGTAGTTCAAGTAGAAAGTTGATTTAGCATCTTCTTTACCCTTAAAGAAAGAGAGAAGAAACGAAAGGAAGAGGGAGGGCAGACAGTGGGAAAATGGAGAGAATCTGTCAATTGATGTTTAAAAGCAAAAGACCCCAGTGGTTTTTGTTTGTAGATATGAAAGTGTCCCCCCAAAGTCTTAAAATCAATGGAAATCCAGTCAAAATGAGTAGAATCTAATTTTGGTTTTTCCTCAAGGAAAGAAAGAAAATGTCACCAGGATATCCCAGCGGCTATTGGGCTTCAGGTTCCTGCTCAGCCCACAGCTACAGGCTGTTTGGGGAGTTGGAAATGGAGGACGCAACACTGTGTGCTTGAGAAGGTGTGGGAAGCTCACGGCCTCCCATTGGAGGGCGATCACGTTTACCACTATCAAACCCTGTTAAACATCCTGTCTTATTCTTGCTTAATCTCCATAATTTTATTGACTGGGTGTGTGAACAGGAAATAATCACCTAATAGTTTTATCTCTTTGAGATTTGCAAGTACTCTGTGAGCTGGAAGAGTGAATACAGATAACTCTCTGGAAAATGTTTCACTTAATTAAACAAGAAACAAATTCACCAGAATCAGTAGAAACAGACAATTGCCTTTAGGATCAAAAGCAAAATCCTTTCCACTTGATGGCTGCTAAAATGGAAACTATTCCCGCTCTGCCCCCCCCCCAAAAAAAAAACACATTTTTTTTTCAGAAGTTGGGAATGCTTTAAAATATTTAATTAAATTCCATTTTAATTTTTTTAAAAATTATGACACTATACTCACATTTATAATCCAGAATGGGAAAAGGGGAAAGGAAGGGCAATTAAATCGCCCAGAAGCAAATAACATGTTAGGGGGGCAGGGGTGCAAAGGCAAAAAAGTCCCAGGGGGTAGCTTCAGGCTCATGTCACAGAGGAGCTAGAGAGTTAAAACTATGTTCTGGTTTATCTAGACCTGAGAGAAAGGAGCCCAGTGTTCATATCCCTATAGCCTTCAGTTATGGGTTACGAACCCTTAGAGGAGGGCCCAAGGCATGCCTGTCTAGGGGTACACCTTCACCCCAGGCATGCCTATGTAGAGCTAAAAAGACTTAAGTGGCTTACGGAATGTCCTCTAAATCATGTGCCCTAGGAACTATCTGTAAGAAGCAAGAGAACAATGGAGCCAATACCTGGGACACGCTAACAGTCACAAGAGATCACAGAGAATTTCTGGGCGGAGAGCCCATATTGTCCACGATGCTCACCCACTCTATGGGAAAGAGCTGTGGATGATGGGAGTGTAAGAATCTTTGCTGTGGGTACAAGCTGAATGGAACCTATTGCAGTGGCTCTCGAATACTGAGTCAATTTCCCTCCTCCTGGGCTTGGGCGGTCCAGGTGCTAGAACACCCTGGGGCCTACCAGCAGAATTAGCCCTGCACCCTCTTCTCTGTCTAGCCTCTCTCCTTACCCATCTCTTGCAATTTCAAGGTTTTGCATACCATCCATAATTTTAAATTTATATGTCCAGCCCTAGGCCTTCCCTGACTGCCTGGATTTGCAAAGTCACCATCTGGATGTCTAATAGGCACCCCAAATATAACATGTTCCAAACAGAACTCTGACGCCCACTCCTAGCACCAAAAATACTTAATGCTCGCCATTACAGAAAATGGCACCACACCACCTGGATAACTCTAGGCAGAAGTTCAGAGGCCATTCTGGATCCTTCCCTTTCCTCTACTTCTTACATTTAGTCCAACCAGCAAAACTAGCCTGCATTCCCTGCTCCCCACTGCCATCGCCCCAATCCAGGCTGCCATTTTCTCTCACTGGATATTGCCAAAGCCCCCTCTTGTCTCGTTGTTACTATCCTTGCCTTTCTAGCCACAGGAACCCAAAGGATTCTTTCTGCGTAAATCAGATCGTACTCTTCTGTGGCTCACAGTCTCTCTAGGCCCTTTTACAGTACTTGGCTTCTTATCCTGACTTCCACCTCTCTGGTCTCTCCTGTCCTCTCCCTATTTCTTACTCCACTTCAGCCATGCTGACTTTCTAAGGAGAAACATGAGCCCATAAACATGGCAACTGCTATGGCTGAACATTTGTTCCCTCCAAAATTCATGTGGAAACTTAATTGCCACTCTAACAGAGTTAAGAGGTGGGACCTAGGAGAGGTGGGTTTAGTGCCTTCGAAAAGGGGATTCTGGAGTGGCTCTTCCTCTCTCTGCCCTTCCTCTCCCCTGCCATGTCAAGAACAGAGCCCACGATGGATTCAAGGCATCATCTTGGAAAAGTAAAAGAATGGGCCTTCACCAGAATGGCACCTTAATCTTGGACTTCCTAGCCTTCAGAACCGTGAGAAACTAACTTTCTCTTCCTTATGTATTACCTGGTCTGTGCTGTTCTGCTATCGCAGCACAGAATGGACGGGGGCAGTTTGTACCCAGGGACATGCCAACCTTCATACTTGTGCTTGCTCATCCCTTCCCATGTTCCCAGCTGTCTCCTCTAGGTCCTCTGAATTTGAGCTCAGGGTCCCCTCCTAAGAGATGGCCCCTCTGATGAACTTCAGCAACATGTTCCTCCTTGCACACTCAAACTCACCACGGACCCTGCTTCATGTCACCTGGGGGTTCATCAACATTGGCACCCTCTCGGCTGTGCATGTGTTTCCTTGAACTAGGTCATGACAGAGACTGTCTGTTTCACCCACAAGTGTATCCTCATATACAGAATAGTACGTAGCATCATAGGAGCACAGCGTAAGCAGTCAAAAAAGATCTGTGTCATAATCTGTAAGGAGTGAACTGAGTTATTTTTACCATTTGTGAATTATTAGCTTTCCAACAACTCCTTAGTTTTAGACTTAGAGACTCTTCTGACCTCTCAAGCCTGCTGCTCCTCCCTGATGCCCCCTGAGCAGCCTGCCCTCCCTGCATTGCAAACTTAAGCATTCCACATTGCAAAAGCCTCATTACCTCATAAGGCAGGGACTGGGCTGCTCTTACTCACAGACACATGATCGGCAACAATGAAAATGTACTCAATCAAAGACCTAATAAAGGGATGAACAGATAAAATGTCTATTTTAAAATAGTAGTGTCACTACTCTTTTAGTTCAACGAATATCTCATAAAGCCCTTTATAAATCAAATTAATTGGTGTTTGTTGTACTACCGAATGCATTCAGGAATCATGTTGTTCGGTGGTTAGAAAGAAAATTAGAATTCCATACAACAGTGCTTCGGAAACTATCCATGGTGGGTAACTTTTTATTTAAACTGCCAATCTATTACAGAATGATAAGTTTTGTTTCAAATCCTGTTCAGTAAGAAGTCCACTGATCATGTGTTTGGATGTCACAATAGCATCAAATTTCTGTAGAACTTCTGTAATCATCTCTTCGTGAACCAGTAACCCTAAAGACTACCTGAATAGCAATGATCTAGTTCTGAAACCTATCTTCTCAAATAAGCAGGCTGTTTTCACAGTAACCCTAGATGATTCTCTGATGGAGATCCTGGGTCCTAAGTATAG